GTATTTCCTTTCTCCTTGGGAAGCCACAGCACAAACAGACAGCACTGTACCCATATCAACTTGAAGATAGTCTTTTCTGTTAGTTTTGGCCTTAGGACACCATGCTCCATGCCCCCTCCTTTTATGAAGTCGGCCATACTTCGGATTATGTCTTGCTTTATTGAATGTGCTTGCTGTCATTCTGGCATCGGAGATTGCATTTTTGTCTGCCACGCCAGCAGGCTTACATTCTAGATGAGAGTAAAATGAATCAAACAGTAAGGCTTATATTTTCCTGAATTTTTTTTTTGCTTCCCAATGAAGAACAATATGATTTAATTAGTATAGACTTTGAGCGTGGATCAAGCTGCAATGATTTAAAAACATGGTCTACGAACTTTACGCTGTGAGGCAAGCACAATGATCACCTTTTGGTGAATTGTAGGTCCATTCATTTTATAAATTCTCAAATGTAAGACAATGCTGTATCGTTATCACAAAAATTGGCCATTGGAATTATCTATGGCGATTTGTATGTCTGTGGACATATCCTTTATCATGGAAAAGAGTAAGCTCTTTGACCAAACATTCGAATTACAAGAAAAAAAAAAGCCGTGACTTTATTAATTTCAAAAAATACCATATGTCAGAAACTCCAAGTTTTTAAAGAAAAAGTGCAATTTTCCCCTCGTTTCGACGTCCTTACTAATCATTTCAACCAAACATAATAGTAAATCTCCGATTGGTGAGTGGCACGTCCGCACCTTTCCTAACCTCACAGATTTAGGAAATTGTTTTGCCGATATCTCAAAAATTGAAACTTGTGGAGCTTATTGTAGAAAGAAGTAGCTCCATGAAGTTCGCCCTTGTTATGGGCCAACCATATGACCATATTCCATGGAGAAAAAATCGTTAACCAGTATTCGCACTGTGTAAAAATTTCAGTTCGTAGCGATTTAAAATAACGAACTTATTAGCATTTTCTGGGTTTAGGCAATTTTCAAACTCATTGTTGAGCTTTACGAGCTTTGAAAACTTTTTGTGATATATCCCTTTCGGTTTTTTTTTTGACCGCGCAATTACCAATCTTCTAAATTGGCGATGGTCTTTGTGATGACGAGGAGATCATCGCTGATCCCTCGGAGGTCATATGTGCAAAAATCCTGCCGAAACGACATTTTTAGCTGTTTCCCACGTCAAAGTATACTCTCCCCTCGTAAATGAACTAAAAAAATATATGCGTTTCTCTTTCACTGGTCGCCTGATCAACGGTAACTTACTTCTCACAAGAAGTTGTGAACAATTTCTCTTGTACATCATAATTAAGCTATCTGTGACTCGTACAAAACATTGGGCGAAGGCGAGGGGAAAGGGAGCCGTAAAGGATTCTAATGGAGATGATAATAAAAATGACAAAGACAATAACAGATAACAACCGTACCTTTGCAGCTGTTTCTTCCGTCGCCAACAAATCCCAGTTTGCATGTACAGTTGTAGGATCCCCCAGTGTTGCTACAAATGGCATTGACATGGCAACCATACTGGCCTTTTATTTCAAATCATATAAGCTGCAGGGAACACCGAGAATACCGAGTGCGCAAGCGTACCTCACAATGAGTAACGACTTCTGAGTAGTAATGACAGTTAAGTTATTTCTGATGCCCGAAGTGGCGAGGAACCAAATCGAGTTGAAATGCTTGGGGAATTATGTTGTCAACTAGTAAGTTGTGCGCATGTTTCATCGGGTCATGATAATTATGAGAGATTTTAATAATGCATTCATTTATTCGCACGGTTTACATTATGCTGTTGTTTTGTATAGTTTCTATGCAAAATTATTTTCTCTATTGACCCAACTGGATTGCCTTTGGATATATGTGGCTTAACGTAAACAGATTGACGAAATCAATACCAAATTCCACTGTTTTTATATAATTCATTAGAAATTACATTAATACATTAGCGAAGTAGTTAAACCGGTAGGAATTTAATGGGAAATTGTCAGCTAAGACTGATTTAATAACTTGATGGTTTGAGTTTAGTAACAAGAAAAACTGAAAAAAAAAAAAAACAAAACAGCCCAATGAATTGATTTATACTCAATCCGCTGCAATCATCAAAATGTTTAATTGCATGTCTTAAAAGCTGTGCAAGCTATGGTTTAGTAAGGCCATAAACTCCGGTACTCAGGTTTGACTGGAATTTGAAAAAAAGGCGTAGTAACACACACTCACACACAGACACAAAAGAAAAAGTTGAATTACTGTAGTTTATTGCAATTTTAATTCCTTCTTAACTAGATAATATTACAACCGTGTCTGTCTAACAGTTCGAATAAAATATGTGATGCGATCAATCTTTTATGTTTTAAATCAAATACCAGAGAGGTATGAAGACCTCTTTGGTGGATTCAGCTAATAATATCAGCGAGTGCTTGAAAAAACAGATCCTAGGTACTAAATGGACATGACACCAGTTTTCTCCCAAAAAAGCGAATCTATAATAAGAAGAGTCAAGCTATCATCTGCAAATCGCGTTCGTACGACAGCTTTACTACTTTTCTTCATCATGTAATGACATTGAATAGTCACCCATGGCTATAAGTGTAGCATATTGAGCTGTTCTTGGTTTGTTTTAACGTGCTCCTGTTGGTTCACCCATGTTTGACAAGTTAATGTTGTTCTCCTGGAGATCTGCTTTGTTTTTGGCTGAGTACTCTGCTTTTAAGTGGCAGGTATCCATGCCTCAGGAATCTCGATTCTACTGTATCTCTTGTTTTTATTTTCATACACTACTAACTTATGAGAAAAGAAAACTCACACCGTTAGCAGCTAAACATAATGCTTAATGAAAAAGCAACAGTGGACTTACACATCTTTCAGTACAGATCTGGAATACTTTTTCCATTTTACCTTTATTCTGTATAACTGTTTCATTATGTTGCAGCGAAGGGGGTGTGGTCAGGGGCGGATCTAGGGGAGGAGTACAGGGGGTGCACACCTACCTCCCCCTGAGATAATCTGAGGCTTTCTTATATAACTAGTATGGTGCAAAATAATTGTAAAAAAAAGTAACGATACAATAAAAAAATAAAACTGCGTGAATTATTTGCGTTGAAGTAAAACATGAGGTTACAGAATTTATGTTAAACGCAGTGAAAATGGTAAGTTAGCACTGACTTTTCGAGTATCAGTTCTTCTGTTCGTCAGAGACGTCAGTTAGGTGATTCGTTTATGGTGCACCCACTCCTACAAAAAATCCTGGATTCTCGTCTGGGAATGATTAGTTTGTTAATTAGTTTGTTAGGTTAATTACTTGCTAATGTTGATTTTCTTTTTTTAAACTCTGTGAATATATTTTTTATCCTTTAGTTTTTGTGTTAGAGAGTGACTACACATATATACTAACCCTTTGAAGTATTACTTAAGCTCAAATATTTCAACCCTCAAAGATGGCCAAGCATAGAATTTTACAGGATAAAACCGAACGTATCTGGCTTTGAAGTCATTTCTGAGTGAATGTTTCACGATGCTGGTCTGATCTGAGTTTCCTGTGAACACCTGGAATAAAGCAAACCGAAAAAAACGAACGAAGAAATTGAACAACTTCAAGTTGGTATGGTGCACCAATTCTATATACAGCTAAGTAAGGAGTTACCGGGAGGAGGGGGAGGGGAAGTGCGGGGGCCATTTGAACAGGTCTTAACTGCTCATATCTTTACACAATTTTGTCTTCTATTGCATTGGGGCCCGGCCTTTCCAAACAGAGGTCATTTTTCCGTCACTTTTTTCACTCTTTTTTTTTTATTACGGATGTTTTTATTACTCATCATCCGATAGCAAAAAGTAGATGGTCAAAGTGACACGATAAGTTCCTTTATCCAGCTGCAAGACGGTTGTTGTTGAGTCTTTTCCCGAATACAAACGCTGCTGACATCTAAGCTATTGTTTGCAGCGTGCACATATTATGTTACCATCATGATTTGCAAAAGTGAAATAAACAAACAACAATAAAACAAAAACAAAAGAAAACCAAATGAACCCACGACAAAGACAAGGTTAGGGACAGAAAGAGAGATGGAACGGAGACCTCCTGTCTCACAAAATCCGGAAAACAACGTCATGAGAAATGTTATAATTATATATACTGGATGGAAAAGTCATAGCAACACGTGCTCGACTAATTTCTAAATCTCTTCCACTTCACGCACCACACGCAAAAAAAGATCCTAAGTCTTTTGAAGCATTCTATAAAAGACACATCAGATACCTTTCAGGATTTCAAGCAAACCCGCCATACTTCACGAGCTTATCATTTCCGTCGACGTTCTCTGCTGCAGTAGCCAATGAATATAAGTGTCCAAATTCAGCAACTGAGTGTATTTCTGTTTACTACTTATTTGCATTGACTTCAAACACTTTGTTAATTGCAAAAAATGTTAATTTCAGTTCTCTCCATACCTTTTCGAAATTCGTTTCCCTGTAAGTGCTCCAAGTAATACCGTCTGTAGACAATCGTAGTTTGTAGCTGGTGGTCCATTCAGTCAAACTCAGTACTCCTTGTGTGGCCACACCACAAACAGAACGCACTTCGTCCATATCAACTTGAAGATATTCTGTTCTATCAGATTTATTCTTTGGACACCACCCTCCTTCTCCCCTGGTTTCGTTCAGTCGGCCGTAGTATGGATACTGATTACTGTAAAAACTGCTCGCTGTCATTTTGACATCTGGAATTGTATTTTTGTCCGTCACACCAACAGGCCCACATTCTAAATAGGAGTAAATGAAATAAGCGGTCAGGCTTATCTTTACCTTCTTTACCAGTGTTTATTGCTTTCCTTCCCTATCTAAAACAATAGGAAATAACTAATGCAGACTTTGGGTGCGGATCATGCTGAGGTGGTGGAAAAGGATAAGAATAGTAATCGTTACCATCAGGCAGCGTAAAATCCATGAACGCCAGGTGACCCATGCCATTTCTTTACGTTACCTTAGCGCGCTTAAATAAGTAGTCTAATAACTTTTCTCTACCAAATATGTATCACAATGCTGAGAAACGTTTTTGTGTGAATTTTAGACTTACATTCTCATCAGAGAACTAGAAAGTGAATTTCCTCTCTCTCTCCTCTTTAGTGAATTACTATTACTTAACCTTAGCAAGTTCTACCATCTCGTTGTGGACCTTTCTCCATGTAATATCTGTCCTTGTCGATACCTTTGCAGGTGTTTCTTCCGTCTCCAATAAATCCCGGTTTGCATGTACAGTTGTATGAGCCCTCAGTGTTGTCACAAATGGCATTTACATGACAACCATGCAGGCCTTCCTTACATTCGTTGTCATCTATAGATAAGCATGCATACGTTAATTTAATGCAGTTCTTTCATCTTATTTGTTCAGTTTGAACTTTAACAGAAACTTTTTCAACAAATTAAAAACCCTTTTCACAATATTTTCTTGTCTGTGACTCAAAAAAAACATCGGGCGAAGGCGAGGCAAAGGGGGTCGTAAAGGATTCTAATGGAGATGATAATGATAATGAAAATGACAATAAA